ACATGTGAGAACTCTGGATATGTGAGTCTATAGAGGTTGTGCACTAATGTTATCACCACAACTCGTATAAATGCATCGAAGTGCCACGTAGAATTGCACCGATGTGCCGTGTAGAATTACACCAAAGTGCCATATAAAATATCCCTAAGGACCACGTAGAAAATTCCTTAAGAATCATATACATATGCAAAGGATCAAGTATGTGTCTCAAAAGACATCACACATGTTCCAAGGAATACATATATGTCCCGAATGACCGCGTAGACCCTCGACTCTTGGCATGCCAATTATACCTCTAGCTCTCAAGACACATAACATGGGCATTGTCATTTATGTCATTTCACATATTCATATATACACATAGTTCACTTACGCGTAGAACATTTTCATATGATTCATATTTACATGTCACATAGCTTATATACTTTCTCACGTAATCACATAGATCCATGTTATATAACATATATCCAAAGTGCATATAATCACGTATATCATATCATACAACTTAGATCATTTCTCAGGTATTCATGTAAACATACATATCATATATTGTTCATATATGATCATATATACTTCATATAACACATAGAAATACATAGAACACTTTCACATAGCTTATATAAATTTTCAGAGTCCTTTCATATTACTTGATAACATATATCATATATGTATATAATAACTTATATCATATCATCTACCTTATTCTCCATTTCTTTGTATTCCCTTAGATTATATAAATTATGTCGTATTTCTAAACGTATATCATTTAATAGTATTTTTATTTATGTATTAATTTAATCTATTTACTTAATTCAATTTCATATATTCATTATAATCTTTTCATATAGCTCCATAGATATTTAGCATATAACTTATCTTACATATTTGTATCGCCCCTTTATATTCAAGTTTCCTAATTGATATACTATTACCATTTCATTCTATAATTCAATCTTATTTAGTTCCCTTAACTCTCAATAAATCAAAAAGCTCTATTATACTAATTCTCATAGTGGATCATATCACTATGTACTTGTCTAACTCATGTTTCCATTATGCATATACTGTTACCCATGTTTACCTAGTTCATATCACTTCTCATGAACTCACTTTCATCATATTTTCCTATTATTACATATTTTATCTCATAACCATGTATTCACATAGTCTTATATTTCATTATCATATGACTTATATTTGTTCTCCTATAACTCTTCATAAACATCTATTTCCATTTTCATACATCTCTTGACTTATCTTCTATATTCCTATAATTTCATAACTTATTTTATATTCTCTCATTAACACTTAATAGTGTTTTTACATAAACCACATAGCACATACAAAAACATATCAATTCATATAATCAAACATACATACACTTCATATTGTTAACATACTTATAATCAAGACTTAATGAGCTATTACTATAGGAAATAGACTTATCACAAGTCTAATTTCCATATAATCTTATAAAAATAAGATGCACTCACCTTGGCCTCACTAAGTTCCAATCCACTTTTATGATTTCCTCTCTTTCGATCGAATCTTAACTCGATAATCGTTCTGGAACTTGTTCATGTTCGATATCTACATAATCATACATTGATACATATCAGTACCCATTGATATACTTTAATCTATCATTTCTTAGACCAAAAGAAATGTCTATTTCAATTTCCCCTTGAAGTGCATTGATACATTCTACAGTGCATCGATGCATTCTACAGTGCATCGATGCATTCTTTAACATGTGCATCGATGCACTACCCATGCATCGATACACAAATCACCTTCGATGTTTTCATTTTAAGGGGGTGCATCGATGCACTAACTACATTCGATGTATCCATTTTTAATTGGTGCATCGATGCACTTCTTGTGCATCGATACACACTGAACAATTTCTAGAAATACCCTTGATACATCGGTACACATTGAATGTGCATCGATGAACATAGCCCATAATTCATTTTTATGCCCGAAAATCTACTATTTTCAGCTTAATAACTTCATATATCATCCTCTTTCTTATTCTTAACTTACATACTCATATTCAAACTCATTTTTATTCATTAATCACCTCTTTAACATCAAAATCCTATTCTCCATATGTAATTCAAGAATTACACTAAATTTTCAACATGTTCCAAATTAAATTCTATTACTTCTAACTTTTATTTAGACCCTTGACAAGTCAAATCCATCTTTAGAACTTCAAAAACATTTCTATAACAAAAGTTCATTTCGACACCCTTCATATAATTTCCTTTTTAATTCTCTATTCTTGATGTTTAAAGCTTATATAAGCTTTCCTTAAGCTTATATGATACTCAAAGAATCAAAATCAACTTATAAATCCAAGAATTAAACAGCTGAAATTAAACTCACCTTTAACTGAAGCTTACGGGGAGAAAAAGAAGCTGGAGAAGAAGACTCTGGATAGATTTCCTCATTTCTCACGTTTTTATATTCTTTAAAAAGAGAGAATAAAAATTTCTCTTAGAAAAGACCATAATACCCTTGTTACTTTCCAACTTTACTATTAAATCCATGAACTTTTAACTTATTTCGAAATCAAGCACATAATTTTCAAAATTTACAATTTAATCACTGACCCTAAATTTTGGGATGCTACAAATCATGACTATTAACGACATTTGGGTAAAAAAGGCCAATATATATATTACTATTAACAACATTTGGGTGAGAATGCCACTATATATCATTACTATTAGGGGCACTTGTTTTTACAAATGTCGCTAAACGATCTAACATATTGCAGCGTTTGTAACATAAACGCAACTAAAAAGCATAACCTTTAGCGGCGTTTGATGTTCACAAACGCCACAAACATTTGCGGCGTTTATTTATGCGCCAGAAGGGTTTTTAGCGGAGCTGAAAAACGACGCTATATGACTAAAAAACACCGCTAAAAACATGTTTTGTTGTAGTGTCAGTCGTTAACTTTCATTAACTCATTAATATAAGTTTGAGTTGACAATTACAAAATAAAATAAAAATCCGCATCATTTTTTCTTCTAATAAAATAAAGTTTAGGACATTACCTAAGATCCAATTGGGATTTACATAGAAATTTACAGATTGTACTCCAAGAGAGACGGTGGTAAAATTTAAACTTGATCTTAGAAACTCAAATTAATGAATATCAACTACTTGTACAAATACTCATTGTCTTTTCTTCTTCTTTAACCCCCAGTTTTCATCCCTTCGCGGGGTATCTCTATGTTTTTGCTCGCTAGTTTTTTTTTGTTTCAACAACTGTTGCCAAAAAGAAAACCCATAATTCAAACCTTTTTGTTTCAAACTTCATGTTCTTATGTTCTTACATTCTTTCTAATCCTCTCTGTTTCTCTTACTTTTTCTTATTCTCTCCTTATCTCTTCAAGATTTTCTCTTTTCTTTCGTCGCTCTTGTCACCACTTCCCTTTTGGTTCTTGCATTATTTACGATATTAAAGTCCCTAATAGTCTACGATGAAAGTGATGGCTTACCATGCTTGGAAGAACTTGAAGCGTATAAGATCGTGTTTGAAACTACAACCATTACGGAAATTAGAGAAAATCCGAATGCAGTTTTAGAGACAGAAGTCCTTGTTGATTGCTTACAAGCTGTTGATGAAGTTGACGGTGCTTCGGAGTTCGGTTCACAACAAAGAATCATTGGCGAATGGTACTTCCGATGAAGAATCAGCGGAGATTTCACGTCCAGAAACTGTTCAGGTAAATGTTGTAGTGAAGAACTTTGAACTTTGAAGAGTTTTTGAAAGAAAAATATGGGGTTGAAAACTTATCGTCTAAAGTGGGAGAAAAATATGAGGAATGCAAGGCAATGGGGAGTAAAGTAAGTGATCTCGAGGCTACAGTGGGAATTGAAAATCAGCGGAGATTTCACGTCCAGAAACTGTTCAGAGGTAAATGTTGTAGTGAAGATCTTTGAACTTTGAAGAGTTTTTGAAAGAAAAATATGGGGTTGAAAACTTATCGTCTAAAGTGGGAGAAAAATATGAGGAATGCAAGGCAATGGGGAGTAAAGTAAGTGATCTCGAGGCTACAGTGGGAACTGAAAATCGAGGTAGCTTGGCAACAAAGCAATGGTGAATTCCCAAAGCATTGACAACGAAACCATGACGTTTAGTTATTTGGGGTCAATGAGAAAAGAAAAGAAATGAAAGAGGACATTGGCATGCAAGCTTTTCGAGGAGAGAGACAAGGTGACGACGGCGAATGAAGGTGGTGAAGGAATGGAAATTGGAAGTTGTAACCGCAACATTTTAGTATCAACCTTTTGTTTTACTAGAATTATCATTTACTTGCTTTCAATGTACAAACTATTTACCAACAGATTTAACCTTGATTTTGTTTGTTGAACAGGCCTGGATTACAAAAGTAGCTTTCCATGTGAAGACCGTTGATGGAAACCAGTTACTAGAAGCTGGTTTAGAAGGGTTTTATACGTAAGAACTAGGTAGTTTAGAAGAAATTTATCAGGTACAATGTTTTTTGGTATTTTGAAGGACACACCTAACGTTCAGATTGGGAGAAGCCCTAGGACAGATAACCTTCTCAAGGCCGAAAAAATGGTGCTGGACTTTGATGGATGTGTTTTTAGCTTCTAAATAGTGAATCTATTTGAATATACACATACACGCGTAATGTGCATACATTAATCTAAGTGAATAAGACATTGAACAAGACAATTACACTATAAAAATAGAAATAAAAAAAGGTTATGAATGAATGTAAAACTAAATTAGATTTACAGTAATTTTTTAGCTGACCCTTTTTCCTCATATATATAGGATAAGAGAGAGGTATGATAGTAAGATACCCCCAACACCATATTGAGAACAACTTCCGTAGAGACCTCCGAATTATGAAATGACCTCCGTGGGACTCGATCCCACGACCACAAGGTTAAAAAAAATTATTTTAATTTCTTCGTACATCTTTTGTTTTGGTTAAGAAAATTTGGGCTATTGAGATGACAAGACAAAGAAAATAAATAAAAATAGTAATTACACAAACAAATATGAAAGAATATTTACTTTTTCCAGATATTATCGTACATGGAACAAATCTCCTATACCTGATTCATACAGCCAATCTATTCAAATCCCAAACCACTTCCCATTGAAAATCTGAAATGTTAAGACTGCAAAACAAACGCCATTTCATTTTCTTTCCATCTCTGCATCCACCAATTGCACAGATATCGAGGAATTCATTTTCTCGAAACATTCTCAGGGGCTTCTATTTGCGGTGGCAAGAGGTTTAAGAAGCTCCCTTGAACAGGTTGACCGGCAGCTGTGGCCGACTCATCCTCTGCAAAATGTTAGCCTGATTGATATGCTATCGATTCAAAAAGACCACTCAATTTCTCCCAAACTTAACCCAATAATAGCTATAATATCTTACCAAAAAGGGATTTGATGGATGGTCTCTTCGGTTTCGAGCTCCTCTTCTTCAATTCAACTGCACAAGAGATAGAATAAATAAAAATATGTCATACGCAAAAACTCGTAAAAAACCAGACAAGGAGAATGGGGATTGACTGAGAAAAACAAGACTCATTGATCTTCACAAAGACATAAATAGTATTCGAGAATTAATAGATAAGCTTACATGCATGGGAGAAGCAGTAACTAAGGACGAAAAAGTTAAACCGAGAGAGGAAGCAAAATACCGATTCCAGGTAACTGATTATCATTTACAATTTCGACGTTCTTGTATGTGTAACCAACGAAGTTTACATCTTTGGATGACAGCATCTGCGTCAAAGGGGAAAATTCGAATAATTTCTAGCAAACTTGGTTAAGGAACAGTCAGTCTTAGAGAATGGCAGAAGAGGGAATTTACAGTTCATATTAAAATTTTGTACGATACTAATTACTCGTTCTTGGTTCTAAACATTTTAACTGAAAGTACATAAAATTCCACTAACCTTTCTCCATGGACCTGATTTTGCTGCAGATGGAATTTGGTTGTCAACCTGGTGCATGAAAGAGAACAAAATGATAAGAATACGTCTAAAATAGAGAATTGCATATTTATAGCCACTGTAACACTAATATACCTCTTCGAACTTCTCAAAATTTTGTGTATCCAACTCATCATTGACTTCAGGAATAAATGCAGCTTTCATTTGATATAATTTGTCCCATTCAACACCCTTAAACCAAGGGTGATTCTGCAAACAGATACAGCCAGTTAATTTTGAAATTTGCACTCTTACAAAACAAAATCAATGAATCTAGAACAGGACACATCACACAACACCTTAATTTCATGTGCGCCTTTTGTGCCAACCCTCTGTTCAACATTGCATAGAAGTTTACTGATAAGATCTTTTGCTTCTGGGGATAGTTTTGCTTCTTCTGGAAATTTTAAGTGGGTTCTCCAATTTACGATCTGGAAAATGTAGAGGGCATTTTAAGCACCGAATTGGACAATGTTTAATCATCTCTAACAAAGAGCATAAGAAGCACAATGAAGAGTTGCAATATATAGAAGTTATAAAAGAACATAACAAATGAACACAAGTAGATAATAGAAAAAACACACCTTTCGACAGGTTGACATTGGCTCATCCGAATAAAAGGGCGGATATCCAACAAGCATTTCATACATGATAGCACCAAGAGACCACCTAAAAAGCATAAAAAATATCATTATAACCATCACTCAAAAATATAAATATATTGCAAAGAAGAATTCATGTTAATTTACAAACCAATCGCATTCCATTCCATATCCTTTCTTCAGCAAAACCTCTGGAGCGATATAGTCAGGTGTACCGACCGTAGAATAAGCCTGAAATATTATATTATGTAATGTTAAAGCAACGCTCGTATGACATTTCAATGAAAAGAGGGGAAAAAAGTTTTCGATTCATGAAATTAGTGGGGGGAAAAGGCAAGCTTCTGGCCTTTCTACAATATCAAAGGCAACTCACAGCTATAATATCCAAGCCTTGTAAACACAGAGAATCAAACAAAGCCCTGAATTATGGAAAACAAAGGAGAATCAAGCACTTACAAGCATCCTTCTGTTCCTCTGCCAATGTTGCAACCGCTCTTGTTGTGTGCGTTTTGGTGCAGAAGGCCGCCCATCACTTTGAAGAGCCCCACTGAGATTGATTGCTGTAGAAAAATCCTTTTCCTGGAGATTACTGCAATCCAAAGGTTTACATAATCCAAAATCCGATAATTTCATATGGCCATTTCTATCGAGTAGCAGGTTGTCAGGTTTGATGTCTCTGCAACATGTGACATAGAATGGGTTCACCCTTTAGTGCAAACTCAAGAAGACCATTAGATAAAGTGATGAGGGTTTAACTTCATGTCAACTCACCTATGAATATAATTATGTTTGTGGATTGATTCAATTGCCAGGACAGTTTCTCCAACATAAAATCTGGCTTCATCTTCAGTTAGTATATCCTTCCGCATCAGTAAAGTCATCATATCTCCCCCAGGTAAATATTCCATAATGAGATACAGATACTCTTCGTCTTGGAAGGAACAATAAAGTTTGACAATGCAGTTACTGTCAACCTCTGCAAGTAGATTTCTCTCAGCTTTTACATGTTCAACCTGATCGTTAGAAATGCAAATTAACAGGTTAACATAATGGCTTAAAAAATATTAAGGAAATTACATAAAGGCTTAAATTGTACACCTGGCCTCTACGAAGCATCTCTGACTTCTTAAGCTTCTTCACAGCATAAACATGACCAGTTGCCTTCTCCCTACAGATTCTAACCTGTAATGAGAAAAGAGTGAGCATCGAATTTGTGGGAAAATTCCTTCTTTTGATGGGGAATGTGAAAATAAACTAATAAAAAAGAGATATAGATGTTCAGGAGTTGAAAATAAATTAAGAATAAAGGTGAGGTGAAACTATAGCCAAAATATTAAGAAGTGTCGGTGACTACTAAGTACTAACAAATAATGCAAATAAGCAGTATAACATGTAGAAGAAGCCTGTCCTTCTAGAAGTTTCGTTAAAGCATTGTCCCAAGAAAACAAGTTCGGATAGCAGGGAAAACAATTAAAATATTTAAAAAAAATTTCCAAGTAGATTAAAGCAAATCCAGAAAAAGAAACACCTATGTTATGATGCACAAAGTGAAAAGATATAATTACCTCTCCAAATGCACCCTTTCCAATCATGGTCAATGGCTCAAAATCATCAGCACCCATTTTATGCCTCTGAAGACGCATGTATTCTGTTTCCTTCTTCTCAAAATACTTCAGTAAGTTGTTTTGTTCTTCTTCAGAGACTTCAGCATCAGCCAACTTCTTTTCTAGAATATCACGTCTGCAGAAAATCACAATTACTCAAAAACCATCATCCCTATTCTCCATAAGGAAACAACCATAACTTTCCCAGAATTCCTCCAATCACAGATCATTTTGTCATGTTATTTTTTGCAGAAGATATACAATGCAATTGGCAGCAATAAATTTTGAACCAAAACCAGATATGGAGCATCTCTACTGCCAAATATCAGTCCATTATATAGAGCAGAGTTACAACGCCTGCAACATCATACTTATGTGGCATGACAGTAACTAATACATGGATAAATTTCCTAGTAGAGATAAGAATTTAAATCATACCGCTCCTTTCTTTCCTGCAAGCTTTTCATCTGCTTCTTGTAATGGTTCTCAATGTACTGCTTCGCAGCTTCTACACGCTGTTTGGTGACATCCGATGGTAACTCTTCACCTGTTGGTGGTTTAGACCCCTCTTTTGCATTACCTGCAGCTTCTTTCTTTTTTGAAGACCATATCTTATCTTTCGACTTCAACTTGTTGAACCAACACCCTACTGTTTCCATTTGTTTACTCGATAAAAACAACCCTTCTGAACCCACAGACCTAAATGTTCATCACAGCTCAGTATCACACAATAATAAACCTGCCATCGACTATGTTATTTCAAAAGAAAAGAATCTTGCTGACTTTAAGCGCATCACTGTTTACCAAAGCATCCAATAAACACATTCTGCAATGAGAAGGAATGGAAATAAGACTAAATCACCTTAGAACCAGGCTAACAGTTCAGAAACAAGAAAAAGGAGCAAGTTTCAAAACCCGATTTTAGGTTGTTATCAGATGTCGAAGGATACAACACAAGCAAACAAAAACCAGATAATTGGAAAGAATACCCAAATCATATGAAATCTAATGACACACTTGAGACAAACATTCAATTAAAATGGTAGCTATATTAGCTGCAACATGCTCCCATTAGCCATTTGCACAATTCTTACCAACCAACCTGATTTTCCCGACATTTTCAAGCAGCTAAACATCAAACTAAACCTCAACTCAAAACCCAATTCTAAACTACCAACAAGGTAAATTAGAAACAAGTTGAAAACCCAAAGCAGTGTTCCATTGATTCAAAGTGAACAATTTAAAGTCATCAATTCAGTAGAAAAACGAAATGGTGCTGTGATCCTTGCAAAAAAAAAAAGCGATTTTTTAACCAATTTAAAGTAACCGATATGTCAAAAATTTTAAGAAATTCAAGTGAGATATTATCAGGGAAAGAGGAAAGGATGTTTAACAATTAAAAGAAGTGTTTTGCTTCATTTTCTCACCAACAAAACAGAACACTTAAAATCCAAGACTAAACAGTGGAAGATTTAAAACACTGAATACCTAAACCTTCACTAAAAAATCACTCGCAAGAAATGGTCAAATCGAAGCTGAAACTAAAAACCCGATCCAGAAAACAAATAAAAAGACTTATCTTTGATAAACGAATAAAATTGGAATTGAAATAATTAAACTGAAACGAACCATTAAAATGGCAGAAGAGAAACTGAAGCGGATGGATTTCAGAAGGTTTCGATTAGAGAAAGAAAGAGAAAAGATAAATGGCAGCACGGTGGGAAAACCCTAAAAGAAGAAGCGAATAGAGGAGAAAATTGAGGCTAAGATGAAAGAAATTGAAGTATCATTAATGGAATTTAGGCCTTTGAAAAGTTGGAAGCTTTGGCTTTCCCCGATATGAACTGTTTTTATATTTATGATTTAAATATAAAATTATATTTTATACGATAAAGTACACAAATAATCTTTCGAATATAGAGTGATGTTTTGTTGATTCTTTCGACTATTAAAAGTTACAAAGTTGTTCTTTAATTATAGAACGATATATTGATTAATTTGATTATTAAAAGTTATAAAATGATTATTCGTCTATTTATGTATTTCAAATCATTTTTCGTAAAAAAATTGATAATTATTTGAGTTGTACATTAACATGTTAACTGAGATATGATAAAATATGATCTCATGTCCGTTTGGGTTGCATTTTATGGATCGATTTTTTGTTTACATCATATTATCAAGTCAGTGTATAAAAGATTATAATGTTAAGTCAGTGCTTGAAAGCAACAGCGATACCAATAAACATTATTAAAATATGATTTTATAATATCTCATTTAACATGTTAATGTCAAACTCATACAATCATCAATTTATTAACGGGGAAATATGAGTTTGGAACATATAAATAATTACATGATAATATAATAATAACCATAACCATAAAAATTTAAAATTAGTCCAAAAAAAATATGTGTCTAAGTATATAAAATCAGTTTTAGGCGATTTTCCAATAAATCACTCTTTCTCTATTTATTTCCCTGTCATACACTCTTCCATCTTTATTTCTCGATTTAACACCCTTTACAGAAAGGCGATGCTCATGCACCGACATTACGCTGATGTGGCGACACATATAAAAACCGGGTGCTAATTTTTAAATATTTTTAAAATTGTGCCTAGTATATAATTAATTTCTGTTAAAGTGATTTTTGTTTAAAAACGTTAACTTTATTTATTTATTGTAGGTGAAAAAAAATTCTACATTAAAATCTTTAAATATTATTTTGTAAAATATTTTATAAATCGATAAATTTTTATTTTTGCATGAAATTACATAATATGTATAATCTAGTATATGAAAACTTTGAAGGTAAGTAATTTAAAACATAAATAATTTTATAAAAGTTTTATAACTATCATTTCTTTTACAAAATGATGATGATGATAAGAAATATTTTATAATTTAAAAAATTATAAATTTCATATATTTTTTAAAAAATTATTAATTGTTTAAAAATATAAAAAATATTAAAATAATTGATTCTTTAGCTTTACATTACTTTTTATTAAATTTTATTCACTTTTAATTCTTTTTTTATTATATTTTTATTGATTTTTAAATATATGAGTTATAATTTAAATTAATCATTTATTATGCCATTATTCAAATTAATTAAGAAAAATTATGGTAAAATGTTTCTAAAAGAAAAATATAAATACATACATGAAAATATAAAGATTTTCTGTAACATCCTAAACTACAGGTTAGTGACTAAATTGTAAAATTTTAGAATTTGGTGATTAAAGTGAAATAGTTGAATAATTCAATGACTTATCTGGAAATAGTTTATGAATTATTGTTAGTAATTATTAAATGAATTAAAGGGTAAAATGATCATTTGACATGAAAGATATTTTTCCCTTTAATAGGAGATAAACACGTAGCGGGGAGAGTGAGATAGAAAAACTCTCTTTTTCTTCTTGCTTTCTTCTTCTCCGCCATAAACCAAGGAATGCAAAGGTAAGTTTCCTTGTTAGCTGATTATTTGTTAATTTAAAGTATGTGTTTTGATCCTTAGGTGATACTTAAGCTTAAGGAAAGCTTAGGTTATCTTAAAATCAAAAGATAAATATGTTATGAAGGATTAAAGATAATGGGTTTCTAAAAGAATTTATGAAAAAAGAGTTAATAAAGGGACTTTGAGATTAAATTTGACTTATCCTTCACAAGAATAAGAAATTTATGAAGTTAGAGAGGATTTATAACAAAGTTGAAAGTTTAGTAAGATTCTTAATTTTAAGAATCATGATGAGATATGGAAGATAAAGATGGTTTATATGGATATAAGTTGGTTTAAGTAATAGTAGTTGAGTTTAATGGTATGAAATGAGCTTTGTATGAGGAAATTTAATGAAAAGTTGTGGAATTTTCGGGTGAAAGCAGTTTATTATTGACAGGTGCATCGGTACACTATGAATGGGTACCGATGCACTAAGACCAATTTAAAGGTGCATCGATACACACCGACAGGCATCGATGCATGAAAATTTCGAAGCTATTTTGGGTACCGATGCACCCATAGTGCATCAATACACTCCTAAAGGAAAAGTTGAAGTTTGGTTTATTAAATTAGCCTAAGTTATTAATATCAAGTTATAAGGAAATGTAGATATTGAGCTTAAACGAGTTTCAGAACAAGTGACAAGTAAGATTGATCGAAGGAAAGGCAAGGAAATAAAGGTGAGTACAATTTAATTTGTACTTATGTTGTTGAATAAACATTGGCTTACGATGAGCCAATGACGGAGTTACTATGATAAGAAGTGATTCCTAAAATGTTATTGTATGTGACATGATTTACATGATTACATGTATATGTAATATATTTAACATGTTATTTTATGTGTTGTGTGATATATATATATAAACATAAGTAAGCAAGACATGACATATGTGCTTACATAAAAACATGAGAAATGATATAGGCTATATATAATATGATCTATATGATTACATGCAAAGTGATATTAATTATGTGACATATGAATATGCAATACGTGATACATGCTATATTATATGAGATAGATGTTTACACACATACATGTGGTATGTGATAGAAGAAAAGACACATGTGATTACAAGAGAAATTACATGAGTACATGAACATATGAAACATAAGAATAATGCTCATGTTATATGACATGAGAGCTATAGGTATAGTTGGCATGCCAAGAGTAGAGGGTATACGCGGTCCTTCGAGACATATACAGAGGTCATTCGGGACAAATTTCACATGCCCCTAATGGGACCTCATACGAGTTGTGGTGACAGCATAGTGCACAACATCAATGTACTCGCATACCTTAAAGTTCACAGTAATGTACATGGGCTTACAAAAGGTATCAAAAGTGTTTGCATTGTTACATGTTATCATGCTATTATCATTTACATTGAATTATTTGTGACATGATAGAATAATTAGATTATATGTTCATATGTATATGAGATGCATTATAGTTATTATGTTTTATATGCCTCACTAAGTCAACGACTTAGCGTGTGATTGTTTCACACATTGGTTCCGAGAAGAGGAAGATTGATAAAAGTTATGCAAAATAGGTTAGTTTCTCCTTTCCAAAGATTAGATCATAAAAGATTTGAATAGATTGTATTTTGTAATATTGATTGAGATTGGCATGTAAATAAAGATTTGAATCCGATATGCTCTAATCGATTTTGTAAAATCATATGATTGAGTTTTGTAATATTTTAAACGTATATATGTAAATGGTAATTTATACTGAAGAAAGCTTAAATTTTATACAGTATATTACTATTAATACGATATAATACTATTCATAAAAACGTTTTTCTTTAAATTTGTTATAATGAAACAAAATTCAACAAGTATATGATCGTATTTTCTTAATATAAGTCCAAATGTTTTGTTATTTGGTAAGGATATTGTTTTGAAAAGTCAATGTGACATTTCGAACTCGTATCCGGGTCGGGTACGGGGTTGAGGGTGTTACATTTTCCTTTCTCGTGTTACTCTCTAAACTTGTAACAAAATTCAATAAAAAATGTAAAACTAAAAAATATCACTAAAATATCACTAATATTAATTTTAAAAAATATTAAATAAATATTAAATTCGAATTTTATTAAAAATGAATAAATATTATTAATTGTTGTTAAAAAATAATAATTAATGAATAATAGTTCATTTAATCCTCAATTGTAATTAAAAGTTTATTTTAATATTTTTTATATTTTTAAACAATTAATTTTAAAAGTCAATAAATTTTTCAAAAATATATGACATTTATAAATTTATAAATTATAAATTATTTCTTATCATCATCATAATTTTAAAAGAAATACTAGTTATAAAACTTTTATAAAATTTTCATATTTTAAATTTCTCATACTCAAAGTTTTACTACACTAGATTATACGTATTGTGTAATTTCATGCAAAAATCAAATTTTGTCGAGTTATAAAATAATTTGTAAAAGAATATTTAAATATTTTAATTCAGAATTTTTTTTAACACACAAAAATAAAAAAATTGACGTTTTTACACAAAAATTACCCTAACAGAAATTAATTACATATTTAGCTCCGTTTTAAAAAACTTTACAAAACTAACACCAAATTTTAAAGCGCAATACCGCGCCTTTCAACACGTGGCGTAAGACGTGGTGCATGGACCGTACCTTTCTGTAAAGGGTATTAAATTGAGAAATAAATATGAAAGGGTGTCTGATAGGAAAATAAAGTTTGAAAGGGTGATTTATTGGAAAAATCGCCTCAGTTTTACATGTAATTATATGGTCCTGTTGTTAACTCATTAACACCCAGATAGCATGGGAATTCGGTGTTAACGTGTGCTGACATAGAAATTAAATAATAAATTTCTTTCTCTCATCATCTTTTTTATTAAAATTAGATTTTCATATATTTTTAGCCACTATCGAAAATTGTCACCACTTGATATGGCTATTTTAAATATTGATTAACTTATATCATCGTCTTTTATCAAATAATATTTTCTCAAAATCTTTTTAAAACTTATAAAATTTGATTGTTCAAAAATATTAACAAAGATAAATTTTATTTAGAGAAGACAATCAATATTCTTAAAATTTAAATTTATCGAACGATTTTTAAAAGAGATCAAAATATTAACAGGAACTTTAACACCATAAAAACACGAGTACCTCTTATAGTTAAAACATGTCTTCTCCTTCCTGTCTCTATTTCCATAAGAATTCATCATCATGATACGATTAAAATTGACTACTTTTATTCACGTGAGCATATTTTTCTTTACCTTTATCCGTAGTGTAGTGTAGAAGATGATCATTGGTTAG